AGAGATCATTATAGGGAAAAAGAGTCTTGGGATAATTTTAAAGTTTGACCAAGGTCTAAGTATTAGATGGTTGTGTTAGTTTCCTAATTTTGATGGTGGTGGGGTGTTTATGTGTGAGAGTGTCCTTGATTGTATGAAATGAACACTAATGAATTAGGGAGAAATGAGATATCAGGTTGGCAACTGTTATCACATGGTCCAGGAAAAATGTTCTTTGCATTGTGCTTGCAACTTGCTCTTGATTTGTGCTTATGCTGAGCTTTTAAAAACCTGTTAAAATTATATTCAACTGCTAAAACGATAATACCAAGTGTTGATGAGGACACAGAGCAGCTGTGCTATCCCACAGGTAGGTAGTTAAATGGAACAGCCACTTTGGGAAACTGTATTCTCACTCACCCTAGGATCCAGAAATTCTTCTCCTAGAAGGACTCACAAAAGGACTTGTATGTTCTTAGCAGGCTTAGACAACATGGCCTCAACATGAGCTCAAATGGATAAAGAAGTTGTGGTTATTCCACCCAATGGGATGCTATTCAGCAACAAAGAGGAGTAAACTGCATGTACACTGAACAACCTGGATGAATCTCAAAAGCACGTTGAGGGAAAGAAGCCAGACTCAAATGAGTACATGCTTATGATCCCATTGATATGAAGTTCAAGAGGAGTCAAAACTAAATGATAATTATTTAAATTGAATAACTGTTACTGAGAGGGAAATGGGTATTGAGTAGATGGATAGAAAGGAAGTTTCTGAATGCAGAAATATTTTATATCTTGATTATATCATGTGTCAAAATTCATCAAGCTGAACACTTAAAAATCTATGTATATTATTTTTCTAAAACATACCTCAATATTTAAAACAAAATTTTACATTCACCAAATCACCAGCAGTGTTAGAGTCTGTAAACAAGTCTGGATGGCGCCTGGCAAAATGCCAGAGGGAGTGGTTTGTGAAGTAAGGCCAGCGAGCCATTAAGTGTGGAGATTCCTTATTGGTTGACTGATGTATCTAGTTTATGCTAATTAAGATAAGCTGTGTGGAAGGTATAATACCTCTGTTGTCCTACTATAAACGGCTCCCACTCCTGCTGTATTAACGTACACAAGTTCCTCGTCAACACCCCCCGCCCCTGTTATTTTGCTGCAGCCGGACTGAGGCACATGGTGGCCGGTTACGGGGAGCCCCGGGACACTCGGGGGTAAGTGACGAAAAAAAGCTGCCCGTCCCTAGGCAGATAGGGCGAGAGGAAAAATGGCCATTTTGAGAAAATGGAGAAGATTGATACAGTGTCTTGTTTTGTCTCAGTGTACTGTATTGTCTTTGTGATGAAAATATGGAAGGGGTGAGAAGTAAATTGATAAGGGAAGGAGGCACCCCAGTGGAACCAAGAATAGTTAGGGCATGTGTTGATAAAAGCCCAGGAACTCTAGTCAGAAAGAAAAAGAAAGTTCAGAAGAAGGATTATCAGGAAAAAAGTTGCAGCAAAAGGCTATTACTGAATACTTTTCGTTACTGGAGGGTGCATGAATCCGCACGGTGGCAACCGCCACGTGCGCCAGCCCGTCAGGGCGAAGCAAGGACTTTCCAAATGGCGGCATCTGGCTCTTCCACTGCCGGGAGCCCCAATCTAGACCTGACCTGGAGGCACAGTCTCGCAGGCTCTTGCTCCCTGTGCCCAGAAGCAGTTTGAGTCCCGGACTCTCCCTGGGGCCTTCTGGGGCTGCCGGGGCGCTGTAGGTGGAAGACCCAGTCCCTGAAGTTTGATCATTTCCAAGGCCAGTAACTACAACCATTAAGGCTTATTTCAAATGTAAAAAACCCTTGAGATAATGTACTAAATTGTTCAGAAGGTTGTTTTCTTAGTGCCTGCTAGAATACTACAGGATTTTCTTTAGCCATCCGGAGTTCCTGCCTTCATCCCAGTGCCAGTAAAGATGAAGGTGGAAGAATTTCCAGTGTTGCTGAAAACCGGTCGAGACTTTGCATCAAGCTAGCTGCCTGCAGAACTTACCTGGACTATGATTTAAGCTAGCTGCCTGCAGAACTTACCTGGACTATGATTTATCTGGACTGTGAGTTAATCTATTGAGACAGTGCTTTACCTGGACTGAGACAACAAACTGTAATCTACAACAAATTGTAACTCGGTATCTTTGCTAATGGTGTCATTGCTGGTATAATTTTTCCAAGGGCTTCTTGCATGGAGCCATCAATTGGCTTGGTATTGTGACATTTTGTATCCTCCCTTTCTGTTTGTAGCAGGTTATTTATGGTGTTTGTGTAAAAACCACTATGGTCGTTATTTAAATTAAACACAAGGGGGAATTGTTAGAGTCTGGAAACAAGTCAGGATGGCGCCTGGCAAAATGCCAGAGGGAGTGGTTTGTGAAGTAACCCCATTGAGCCATTAAGTGTGGAGATTCCTTATCGGTTGACTGCTGTATCTAGTTTATGCTAATTAAGATAAGCTGTGTGGAATGTATAAATACCTCTGTTGTTCTACAATAAACGGCTCCTACTCCTGCTGTATCAACGTACACAAGTTGCTCGTATCAACGTACACAAGTTGCTCGTATCAACGTACACAAGTTGCTCGTCACCCTCCTGCTATTTTGCTGCAGCCAGACTGCGGCACAGCAGTGGCTATATGTACAGGGTGAAATTTTTTTCACTTTCCATATTATAGTTCTGAGACATTGAGCTTTCTTCACAAGTCCTCAACACACTGAGGACTTAAAAACATAATTACACAAAGATAGGATTTGTCCAAAAGGTGCTCAAACAACTAGTTAGTTCAAGGAGCGGAGATTAGGTTAGATTCTCTTTTAACATACACCCAAAGTGTTCAAATAAGTCAGAGTTCATGTATAAAATCAAACCATAAATTTTAAATCAAGTCATAAATAGTGGAAAATAGAGGTTAAATGTCTTAGTTTTCTAAATGACAAAGAAACTTTCAAAGTTTAAAGCAATGTTAGGAACCATAAAGGAATAGACTTTTGCTATATAAGAATGTTAAAGTACATAATAAAATACACAAATTAAATACAACAGGAAGTTAGAATTTGCAAAACCAACAGCATATGACAGACTTTTAGGTAAAGGATATGAATTCTAGAAAGAAAGAAGGTAAAGGAGAGAGGGAGAGAAAAAGGAAAGAAAGGAAGAAAAGGCAAAGGAGTTAGGCAGGAAAGGAAGGAAGAGAGAAAACCTGAAGGACTAACCATCAGGTGACCAACAATGGAGCCTGGGTTTTTAAACAAAAACAATTCCTAGCAAATTAGACAGCATTATTGTTAAATGATAGTGTTCACAGGGCTGCAAGACGATTTTTTTGTTCACTAGGAGCAGGAGAGCAAATGGCTATATTTCTGGAAACTGGTATGTGTATTGATATTCTTTAATACAGTTTCTATTTTTAATTTTAATTTGTTATACATGACAGCAGAAGGCATGACAACTCATATTACACATACAGAGCACAATTTTTCATGTTTCTGGTTATACACAAAGTAGAGTCACACTATTCATGTCTTCATACATGTACTTAGGGTAATGATGTCCATCTTATTCCACCGCCTTTCCTACCCCTGTTCCCCCTCCCTTCCCCTCCCTCCCCTTTGCCCTATCTAGAGTATATCTAATCCTCCCATGCTCCCCACAACCACATTATGAATCAGCATACTTAAATAAGAGAAAACACTTGGCCTTTGGTTTTTTGGGATTGGCTAACTTCACTTAGCATGCTATTCTCCAACTCCATCATTTACCTGCAAATGCCATGATTTTATTCTCTTTTAATACTGAGAAATATTCAATTGTGTATATATGCCACATTTTCTATATCTATTCATCTACTGAAGGAGATCTAGGTTGTTTCCACAGAAAAATCGTAACACCATAAAAACAAATAATCCAATCAATAAATGGGCCAAGGAAATTAACAGACAGTTCTCAGAAGATGATGTATAATCAATGAACAAAATATGAAAAAATGTTCAACATCTATAGCAATTAGAGAAATGCAAACCAAAACTACTACCCTAAGATTTCATCTCACTCCAGTCAGAATGGCAGCTATTAAGAATACAAACAACAATAAGTGTTGGCAAGGATGTGGGGGAAACACACACACATTGCTGGTGGGACTGCAGATTAGTGCAGCCAATATGGAAAGCAGTATGGAGATTCCTTAGAAATCTGGGGATGGAACCACCATTCAACACAGCTATCCTCTCCTTGGTTAGTACCCAAAGGACTTAAAACGGCATACTACAGGGACACAGCCACATCAATGTTTATAGCAGCACAATTCACAATAGCTAAACTCTGGTTTTTATTTTTTAACTAGAAATGTTACTTTTGGGAATCTGTCTGAAGGAAATATTAAGAAAAAAATCACTATTTTCAGAATTATTCATGATAGTCAAAATAATAAAAATAACCTAAATGTCATCATTGTGGAATTAACTCATTAAGTTATATCTCTCTGGTGGATTATGATTACACTATTAAACAGTGTTTACAATGAGACTTTAATGACATGTTTTTTAAAATCCTTTTACTTTATTTTTTAAATGTTCAAGATAAATAAGGGATAGCAAGGCTGAACTTCAGTTTAGCTCCCAAACAGACATTTCTCGATGGTGAAAAACTCCTCCTCTGTTGGGTTTTGACCCTCCCCCATAGGCGTATATGCGTATGTATCCTTCCAGGTGTGATCAGAAAAAAAGACCATTTTATGTATTTTGGGAATTGAGGGGTTTAAAGTAGCACAAGGGGCTTATGGGATTGTTGGAAGAGTGGGGAGAGTGGGGCTCAGGACAGCTGCTGTGAAGACAGAAGTGGACACTGAAGGTGTCAGCCTGAAGCAGGTGGCGCCCGAGAACTGGCTGGAAAGCCTGGTTCATCTCACATCTGTTCAGCATCTGGATGTCTCTGCCTCTGGAGAGTAACAGGCTCCCCTTCCCTTTTGCCTTCCAAATTTCCCCAGGTTCCTCTGAAGGCGAATTCCAACCTGGAAGAGGGCATTGTGGGCATGGACGAGGAGGGGTAGGAATGGTGGTGAGAGCCACAGCAGTCCATCCAACGGGTCATAACAGGTCTGTCTGGAAACCGACTCCATCCCTACCTGTCAGAGGCAGCCAAGTTGTCAGGAGGCCACAGGTTGAGCAGAAAAATAATCTGGATTATAGATAACAGAAGTTGTACTCTATGTTTTCTTACTGGAATCATTCATTTTTCATGTGTGACATTCTCGGCTTACCTTATTATAAATAGGCAAAGCAAGACAAAACTATATAGGTTATATGACTTTTTAGAAGTTTAGAAGATGATAGCACTCAAAAACTGTTTACATGAAACTCACAAATTGGTGGGAATGTAACATGGTGTAACAACCATGGAAAACAGTTTGGCCGTGCCTCAAAAGGTTAAATGTAGAGTTATCATATAACCTAGCAATTCTACTCCTAAGTATGTATCCAGGAAGATGGTAAACACTTGTTCACACAAAAACTTGTACCGTAATGTTTATAGCAGCATTATTCATAAGAGTTGAAATGTGATACAACACAAATTTCCACCAACTAATGAATAAGCAAAATAGTCTAATGAAATATTATTTGGCTAGGAAAATGAAGTCATGATGTATGATGTAACATGGGTGACTCTTGAGAACATTATGCTAAGTGAAAGACACAGGGCTACATATTTTATGATTTCATTTATAAGAAATCTCCAGAATAGGCAAATACATAGAAAGCAAGTGGACTAATGATTGTCAAGGGTTGGATGAGGGAAAACACAGAGTGGTTGCTAGTCAGCCTCTTGGGGTGGGGAATGAAACTGCCCTCAAATTAGATAGTGATAGTGGTTACACAACTCTGAATATATAAAAACCATTGAAAATTTTTATTGTGGTAAAGTATACACTGCATAAAACATCCATTTTGTTGACAGGTCTGGCATGAAGTATATTCACTTGTTATAGTGCCATCGTCACTACCCATTTCCAGAATTACTCATCTTCCTAAACTAAAACTCCACACCATTGAGTAATAACTGCCTCCCCGTCTCCCCCCAGCCCTGGCAGCCACCATTCCTCTTTCAGAGAAGAATGAGTTGGACTATTCCAGAACCTCATGAAATTGAATCTTGTAATACTTAGGCTTTTACAACTGGCTTCTTTCACTTAGCATAATGTCTTCAAGGTTCATCCGTGTTGTGACAGGTGACAGATTTCCTTCTTTCTTAAGGCTGAATAACATTGTATTGCATATATACATACATATATATATAATCATGTCTTATTTATCCATTCATCTCTCAATGGACATTTGGGTTGCTTCCACCTTTTGGCTATTATAAATAATGTTGCTATGAATGTGAATGCACAGATATTCATTCAAATCTGGTTTCAGTTCTTTGGGTTATATACCCAGAGGAGGAGTTGCTTTATATTATTTAATTTTGTAGTACTTGGGGTTGAACCTAGGACCTCACACATGCTAGGCAAGCACTGTACCACTGAGCTACATCTCCAGACCTTTTTAGAATTTTGATTTAAGACAGGGTCTCACTAAGTTGTTTGAGGAACCACCACAGTTTTCCATAGCAGCTGTATCATTTTACATTCCCATTGGCAGGACACAGAGCTCCAATTTCTCTACATCTTTATCAGCACTTGTTATTTGTTGCTGTTGTTGTTCTTTATAATAACAATCCTAATGGATCTCAAGTGGTATTTCATTGTGGTTTTGATTAGACTTTGAATTGAACATTTATAAGGGTAAATTTTATATGTGAAATAGATATTTTAAAAAAAAACCAACACTATTCATTGAAAGACTGAGCACACCTAGTGTCCAGATTCTGGTTCTAAGTATCTTTCTTTATGAAAGAGGTTTCAATTTGGGGCAGAGAAAATTCAAGGAGAGCTTGGGATGTTTCACTGTGCCAAAAAGCCAAGGAACTGCTCAAATAGTGAGGCATGACTAAAAAGAACACTCACCAAATATGGGATAATTCGAACGTCCAAATGAATGATGACCTTAGAAGCTTTGCATGAATTACAATCCATGATTTGATGTAATAAAAAGAGAGAGAGAGGAAAATGCAATTTTTTATGGAAGAATGCTAGCTAGTAAATGTAAAAGGAATTATAGACTTTAAAAATCACCACTTTGCAACTAACTCCTAATATCATACTTGATTCAAGTAAGGATTAGCAATAGATGTTACAGCTATTAGATGAGCAATTACTAGAAAACAAAGTATTTACATGGTGTGATCCCACAGGTTATTTATCAATTGCAAATGGAAACATACATTTTTGCAATGAAGTAATCTTGTAATCACCACCTTAAATAAATGGTCAAACTCAGCATTGTGAATTGTAGAAAACCTTGGTGTGTATGTTTCCCAGGACAGTGCACCAAGTACACAACACCACCTCTGACTAAATGTGTTCCCTGCGAGCAAACAAGCTTCTCTAGGACTGAACTCTATTTTTTTCAGGAATTCGGGGAATAGTGGACATGTCCTAAACACACACATAGGAGGTTTAGGCAACTGACCGGGAATCTTGGAAAAGTCAATGTCATGAAAGAGAAGAGGAAGGAGCAGCAGAGGTGCTGCTGTAGATAAGAAGACACTTGAGAGACCCAATTAAACAGCAGAAACAACCAAACACACGTGTCCAGTGAGCGAGCGCTCCTGCCGGCTGCACTTAGATGTTATAAATTAATGCTGAAACAATGGAGGCACGTTCATTTGTCATGCTTTACTGATCGCCTGAAATATTGATTATTAAAACTTTTTAATGAATGGAGATTTTTATTGCCGTTTTCTTTCATATTCCCTCCCCTGTGAGAAAAGAGACCATGATCACACAAATGGCTGTCCTTGAAAGCCAACAGTATAGCACATGCTTCAAGACATACGTATGATTTATCGCTAAATCACAGATTCAGCCTAGGAAAAAAATAGAAATGTATGGAACAATTTTTCATTTCATTGTGCATGCAAAATCTTTTCACCTGTTAATGGCATTAACTGCGGTATAGGCAACTCTGTAATACCATATTTCTAAAGAAAATGCAACTTTTAAAATTGCACTGTCCAACAGAGATGCAGGAGCCACAAACACAGATCCACATACAATTTCCCCCACACCCGTCTAGCAGTCATTGCACAAACGTGGAAAAAGGGCTGGGGTTGCAGCTCAGTGGTATAGCACTTGCCTAGGGTGGGTGAGGCACTGGATTTGATCCTCAGCACCACACAAAAACAAATAAAGGTTAAATTCTAAAACAACAACAACAAAAACCTAGAAAGGAAGCAGGTAAAATTAACTTGAATATTTCACTTATGCCAATATATCAAAAGATTATGACTTGAATAAGTAATCAATATAAAGTGACCATAGAAATATTTTGCATTCTTTTATTGCATTATGTCTTTGAAATCATGTATTTTCCCTTCCAGTGGATCTCAACCTGGACCAGGCACATTTCAAGCGCTTGGTGGTGGCTGTCATGTTAAACAGAAAGGCTCTAAAAATTCTGGACCCAAATCAAATTAAGTTGGGGTGCCGCGCGGATAAGCAGTATCAAATGTGACATTTAAAAAAGTGAATTGTCCTAATATGTGCTTTTGATTTGCATTTATTCTGGAATTTTTCCAGGGCTGAAAAAATGCTGTTTACCTCTCAAGCAACTGATACTTTTGCCTTTAGGTTAAGAGAGTGGAGCTAAGACTCTGGGGAAAAAAATCTAATTTTATTCATATTTGTCAAAAATCCTTAAACACAGAACTGGCTTTGCTTCAAGTGTTTGTGTGCAGGGGACATGCATGTCCCTGATCCTGCTGATCCTCCCTTCACGTTGGCCTTTGCAACGTGGAAAGACCCACGCCATCCACTTGCACAGCACCTGGGCTTGTACAGAAGGCTGTTCTGTCATCTCTGCTCCTGAAGTGTCCCAGCCCTTCCTCTGAGACACCACCCCTTTTGCTCTCCCTGCCACTCAGGCCCTGATAGAGCTGGGGCTTTATGGGGGGTATTTTCTGTTACGAGGATGAACCTCACTTTCCCACCTTTCTGCAGCAACCCCGCCTCAGCCCCTGGCCTTGCACTTCCCATCATGCTGTTCTCAGAACGCTTTCCCCTCTTTTGCCTGGCTATTGAAGTCCCATTTGCCTTTCCCTGACTGGTGTCAATTGCATTTCCTTCAAAGAAATCTTTGCTGTCCTGACTTGGCAAGCTGCTGTCACCTCCTTCTGCCCAGGTTGGGTCACTTGTCTTCCAGTGCCTTTCACTGCCTCGTGATGATTCCCATATGTATCTTATCTTGCTTGTGAGTCTGCCAGGGCCAGGTCACTGATTCCTGCAGGTTCCTGCTGTGTTCTCTCCTCAGCCCCACAGTACTGCTGAGCTCACACTAGGCACCTACTTGGTAGATACTACAGACCCTTCCAAAGCTTCCCCACAGTCTAACGAGGAGATGTCTAGAAAGTCAAAAGACCTGCAGATGCTTCCGTTGAAAATTACAAGACCCAGGGCTCGTTTCATCCAGACAAAAGATCAGGGCCATGGAATACATTGACCTTTTATAATAAGTTGGTTTCAAAAATACCCTCAGCTCTTCACCCTGTCCTGTACCTGCACCTGTTGCAAAGTGACTGTATAGTTCCTCCTCCTGGGAGGTGGGGACCAGTTCCCCAGCCTTGAATCTGGCCTGGCCAGAGGCTTGCTTTGGCAAGAAGGAAGTTCCCACTGCTGAGACCTTCGCCGTTACAAGGCTAGGCCTCCAAAGAAGCATGATCAGTAAGAACACCAAGGGAAGAGAGGGGCAGCAGGAGTCTGGGTCTCCAGGCCCTGACTGGCTCTGCCACTAACCAGCAAGAGCAACTAGCACAACACACTTCACCTCCTGGGCCCGCACTCCTCATCTGTGAGATGAAGAGATCCAGCCAGGATGCTTCTAGCTCTTTATCCTCTCATGCTCATGAAAATTATAAATACCTGTATGTGACGCACAGCTGTTATGTACAGGTCACTGATTCCTGCAGGCTCCTGCTGTGTTCTCTCCTCAGCCCCACGGTACTGCTGAGCTCACACCAGGCACCTAATTGGTAAATGCTACAGACCCTTCCAAAGCTTCCCCACAGTCTGGCGAGGAGATGTCTAGAAAGTCACTTTGGGGTAAACAAACCCTTTCAGGTTAAAGAACCATCTTGGGTCACACAGTTAGTGGGTGGTGGGTGAGGCTGGGTGTTAGACCCTGGTCTGTCCAGAGTTCATGTCCTTCCCATTAGACTACACTGTCCTGAAACCACTGGGATGGCTCATAGT